CTGTCACAGCTGGCATCCACAATTCACCCTTTTCATATACGTGTATGGAAGGATTTGCACCCTTTGCTTAGCTTCTCCTAGAAGCCTTGGAATTGAATTCCTATAAGAAGGGAGCTCCTCTTCCCTTCTCAGAGGTTCAGAAAAATTAGGTTCGAGTGATAGATTTAGTTTTGTATCTATCTTACCTTGTTTGATCTTGTTTTGTACTCTAAAGTGTTGTTTTGTCTTACTATTGTACACAAACACACACTAGAACACCATCCTCTTGGAGTTGAGGTCCCTTGAGGTTGATTTCAGAGTTCTTGAACTGATTTTGATCAGAGAAAGTAGCTAGAGTAGTGTTCTTGAAGGTGTTCTTCAAGGGTGAGCATTCTTGCTTTTAATACCCCATTCTTGCTTAAGCTTTTAGCCCTTCTTACTTATTGTTTTAAGCTTAGATTATAACTGATAAAAGTTCTGATTTTTTGATGCTTTAGGTCTTTGTTTAAGGTCATTTTTTGGTTTGAGGTTGTTTCACCCCTCTTAGGCCTTGTTAGGCCTTGTTTTAGGCCATCCTTTTGGGCCTTTGTTCTTTGCTTTGCATGACCTTTCTACCACTGAAATCCAGAGGATTTTCAGTGGTGGAAAGGTGGTTTTGAGGTCTTAGATAGGAGAGGGTCATCCCCTCTCCTTGTTGTCTTGTATGCCAGTATAAATGGCTTATATTGGTAGCATGTTTGCTTGGCTTATTTTATCTTCATTTCAGTATGTATTAGGCTTTGTTTTGCCATGATATAACACTGTTTTGACTTGGTTTGGACATACCATGAATGCTTCATATGCTTGCCTTGCAATCCTTTTATTTGCCTTAACATGCTTTATGCTTTAAGTCATGTTTCTAGCATGATTTTGGCTCGACTCCATGAAGCTTTTAGCCTTGTTGTAGCATGCTTAAGTTCTGATTTGAGTTGTATTAGTCATATATGCCATGCTTTGTATAGCTACCATGTATTCTAGCTTGTTAGCTTTGGGTGTTTATGTGACAACCCTCACCACTGTTTACTGCTAAACTAAGACTAAGCATGTTAATTGACTGATTGACTGAAAGTCTGAACTGATTGATTGAGTATATGAGTTTAATTGCATTTCTCTCTGTTTGACTGGTAAATTATCTGTTCATGTTTTGTGTTTAAACCGCGAATTGAAAGCCTTATCGGCGGCCGAATCAGAAATTGATTAATGTTTTATGATCATTAGAAATTATGTAATTTAATGGTATATTTATTTAAAATGCGATTTGGTACGATTAAATTAGACTAAAATAAGCTAGATTACAAGAGTTGGCCCTATTTACCAATTTGCCACCTAGTGGATTAATCTAGGCAACTCCTTTCCACTTCATACACTCTTGACTAAACATTTCTTCAGCCCATTTTGAGAGTCACAACCGACTAGAGAGAAAGAGGGTAGAAGAAAATCTTGAGTTCTTGAGAATTAGCTTGGAGATTGAGAGAAATTGAAGAGATTCTTGCATATTTGTGCTTCTACACTTGAATTGAAGACATAAGGTAGAGAAATCACTCTCTTAATTGTGTATCTAAGTTGTATCTAGCATGGATCATGGTAGTTTAGAGAGCTAAGTCTAGAATTGGCTCTAGTATGTTGTATTGTAGCTCAAATCATGCATGCATGTTTACATTGTTGAGTTTGGAGGTTGGATTTCATGGGAATCTTGCATGCATGTTCATGTTTGTGTTAAAATCCATGAATTCATCTTGTCTTTGAAGAAATTGACTCACTTGAGCATGTATTTGAAGCTTTAAAGTTGATTTAACTCATGCATGTTGCATTGAGGATATGTTCATGAAATTTGGTTTGAAATTGGGTTTAATTGAACTACCTTTGGGCTTCGATTTCTCAAATGGATCTTTAAAACATGTAATGTTATGAGTTTTGAAGTGTTTTCCAGAAAATTAGCCCAAAAGGATCGAATTTGATACATTTGTAGTTGATTTTGAGCTTGAGGTTCAAATCTGGGAATTCCAGATTTTGGACTCACGCTCGAGCGGGGTGACCTGCGCTCGAGCATGAAATTCGTGCATCCAGCACTTTAGTTGTGTTTGCAGTCCACTCGAGCGGAGTATTGAACGCTTGAACGGGTGTAGAGCGCCTATCGAGCGTGATTTTCGCACATCCAACACTTTTGACTGTTTTATAGTCCGCTCGAGTGGGGAAGTATACGCTCGAGTGGAACCCTTTTGTTGCATGTCCGCTCGAGCGGAGATAATCACGCTCGAGCTTGACCTCTGTTTTCTGAAAATTCTGAAAATGTTTTTAAAGCGCATCTTTGCATCCTCATTTCATTCTATCCATTCCTAGGCCTAGTTTAAGGCATCTTTTTTTTTTTTTTTGATCGGCAAAAAAGAATTTATTGATGGAAAAGAAAATTTACATTAATAAAGAGGAGCTTGGAGCTATAACAAGCTCCAACCTCCTAGTTGGTGAGAAACCAACGCGCAAAGCAAAACACAAAACCAGGAAAAAAAAAATAATTAGACAGATCAGTCAGCCTTGCCAAGAGTGGATAGCAGCTGCCACTCCGAGAAGTGGATATCTGCTGGAAGTTATACACCAGATCAGAAAAGCAACCAGCAGAATGCCTCCACAACCCCATCATAGTAAGCACTCCAAACACCATCAGTGTATAATTCTAACAAATAGTCAGCAAAGGTCCTAAATAAGCACCCCATCACAGTAAGCACTCCAATCCCGCCTCTACCTAAGCTCAGCAATCACCTAGCAGACCCAGCACCAACAGAAATGCACCAAGCACTCAAGCAAACCAGCAAACCAGCACTCAAACAAACCTTCCCAACAAACCAGCAATCAGGAAAATAAACCAGCAGATCTCTTAGCCATGTTAATCCTGAGTGAGCAGCTACAAATCAATAGCAAAACCCACAGCAAGCAAGAGAAATACAAATACCTGAGCAGCATACAGATCAGAGACAGAGCAAGACTGAGCAGGACCCCGCAGAACTGTTGCATTGAGGCCCTACTGTTACAGACCTATAGATTAGAATTTAGCAGCAGGTCTGCAGAACTTGACAGACCAGCATGCCAGCACCAAAGCTATAATGCTTTCACAGAACTACCATGGACCCCCCCAAACACTTTCTAACCTGCCTCAAATTGAAGACAAAATCATGCACTGAATAATGTAAATCTGAAAGATATGGTTTTACCCAAAAAGCAATCCTATGCTTGATTAGATCACAGAGGTCCTCCAGATTTGGGATGGTTGCCCTAAACAGACACTCGTTTCTGCACTTCCAGATTGACCACATCACTACCAATGGTATTGCTCTCCAAATCTTCTTTTCTAGCTTCCTCCACTTCCTTCCAGCCCACCACAGGAGAAGGCTCTCCACAGAGCTTGGAATAACAGCTTGGACATCCCACCAATTTAGCATTTCAGCCCATATTTTCCACACAAAGGGACACCAAAGTAGTACATGATTCACTGATTCACCCTCACTACCACAGAATACACAAGCTGTAGATACACCTTGGTTAATCACACCCAGCTTCAGTAAGAACTCCTTGGTCTTCAATCTCTTTTTCCATGCAAACCAACCAAAGACCTGCACCTTAGGAGGGATATACTTGAGCCATATCAGCCTAGTTATGCTCAGAGAGACTCCAGCAGTGGCCACAACAAACTTATACAAATCTGATGACATCAGACTCCCAGAAGAAGAGGCTGCCCAGATAGGCTGGTCAGGGCACTCTAGACACAGCTCTGGGGCTGCCAGGATCATAGTAACTAATCTGTCCAGCTCCAGCTTCTCCCAATCATACAGTTCCCTTCTAAAGACCAGGGACCAGCCACCTACTGTAATTTTCTTGTCAACCATAACATTCAAAGACTCCTGTTTGTCCAAAGACAACCTAAACAGTGCTGGGAATTCATCCTTCAAGCACACAGAATGGCACCATATATCAGTCCAAAAACAGATCCTCACTCCATCCCCTACCTTCAAGTGAAAATTATTCAGATAAAACTCCTTCAAGCTAGTACACTGTTCAGCAACAGAGATGATCCCCTTCCACACTGCTGAGTGACTCATGGATGGGGTGAGAGACGGAATCCAACCACCCGCCTCCATCTTATATTTGCTGCATATAACTCTTTTCCATAAAGCATCCTTTTCCTTACCAAACCTCCACCACCATTTAATAAGTAGACAGTTATTTGCAACCCTCAACTGCCTAATACCCAAACCACCTTGATCCACTCTTTTAGACAACTCCTCCCATTTGATCATATGGATTTTCCTCCCCTGTTCAGAACCACCCCATAAGAATTTAGCTTGAATCTTATCCAATTCTGAAGTAACCCCTTCAGGCATCTTGAATAAAGATAAGTAATATACTGGCAAGGCTGAAGTTACTGATTTAATCAATATGAGTCTCCCCGCAAAAGACAACATCTTCCTTTTCCACCCAGCCAGCTTGCTTTTGACTTTGTCCATAACTGGTTTCCAAGTAGCCTTCTTTCTTGGATTAGCACCTAAGGGCAACCCTAAATAGCTAATTGGCAATGCTTTAGTTTTGCAGTTCAAAATTGTGGCCATATCATTCAACATCTCCACAGAGACACCCACCCTACAAACAACGCTCTTGTGAAAATTTATTTTTAGGCCAGATAAGACTTCGAAACATCTTAGCACCCTCTTTAATTTTCTTACCTCCTCCACCTCTGCTTCACAGAACAAGAGTGAATCGTCTGCAAACTGTAAACGAGTCAACAACACTCCCTCACGGCCTACCTTCACCCCTTTAATTAGGTTTAACCCACAAGCTCTGCTCAACAAGAGATGCAAGCCTTCTGCAACTAGATTAAACAGAAAGGGAGATAGCGGATCACCTTGTCTTAGGCCCCTTTGGGGGCTAAACTCTTCAGTAGGAGATCCATTAACAAGCACTGAAACTCTTGCCGTAGTTACACACTCCTTCATCTAGTTGATCCACTTAGCACCAAAACCGAACTTAGACAGCATAGAGAATAGAAAACCCCAATTAATGGAATCATATGCCTTTTCAAAATCCAACTTAATAAGGACTCCTTTCCTCTTGGCTTTCTTCCAGCCTTCAACAACCTCATTTGCAATCAGCACACCATTTAAAATATTTCGACCACTAAGAAACGCAGACTGAGGCTCACTAATAATATGTGGCATAACAGATTTTAGTCTATTTGCCAAAAAGTTTTGCTATGATTTTGAAGAGTGAGCCCACCAAACTTATGGGTCTATAGTCAGAAAGCCCAGAAGGATTGTCCCGCTTGGGGATAAGGGTTATAAGGAACTGTTAATGCCTTTTACCGATCTGCCATTCCTATGAAATTCATTCACAAAAGTAACAACCTCACCCTTCATGACCTTCCAAAACTTCTGAAAACACAACATATTAAAGCCATCAGGTTCGGGTGCTTTATTACTATCACACTCCATCACTACTAGTTTAATCTCTGCTTCTGAAAATTCTGTTTCTAACAGATCAAACCTCACTCTACCATCTGCTGATGGGAAATGACCCCCCAATTTAGGTCTTTCTAGCCAGAGTTCCGTATACTGGTTTTTAAAGTATTCCATCACCTTGTTCTTCACTTGCCTCGGCTCTTCATACACCACGTCCCCTTCTGTAATGGAATGTAATTCATTTCTTATTGTTCTGCACTTTGTGACCACATGGAAGAACCTTGTATTCTTGTCCCCTTTCATCGCCCAGTTAAGCCTAGACTTTTGCAGCCATAGCCACTCCACCATCCTACTCAAACTCCACATTTCAGCTCTAACTTCACGTCTCTTGCCTTTTTCATCATCATCATCAAGGTCTCTAGCCTCAGCCAGTAGATCAATTTTGTGGAGTTCACCCTCTACAGTCTTCAATTTGTTTACAATATTACCAAAAACCTCCACATTCCAGCTTCTCAGGCCACTTTTCAAGATCTTCAACTTCTGAATAAGAATAAACCCAGCTCAACCTTCAACCCTGGACTCCTTCCACTTTGACTCCCAGAAGCTCCAAAAATTTTTATGCAAAAACCAAGCATTCAGGACCCTAAAGGGCTTTGGACCCCAGTCCCTCTCATCCTCCATCATAAGAAGAGGGCAGTGATCAGAGACCAGTCTTGGTGAACCCCATAGCTTCAGGTTAAATATCTCAAGCCATTTAGGATCTACAAAAATTCGATCAATTTTGCTCCACTTTTCCCCACCAAATGAATTACACCAAGTGAATCTTCTCCCAAGTAGTGGTAAATCAGATATCTCACACTTGTCAATGAACTCATTAAATTCTTTCATGCCCCTATCTCTCCTAGAGCATCCTCTCCTATCCTCAATCTGCCTAATCTCATTGAAATCTCCTCCTAAGCACCAAGGATTTGGGAATTCCTCCTTCAATTTCAATAGACAGTCCCACAGATTCCCTCTTGAGCCCACATCATTAGGAGCATAAATATTTAAAATAGCACAATTAAATTGGTTAAAGATGGTACCTGATAATAAGATAAATCTTCTATTCTTACAACATTATGTTAGTTGGAAGACATCTGGGTCCCATATGCACAGTAATCCCCCGGCAGAGCCTACAACATCCACCACCATAAACTCCATTTTGTTTCGGACCCACACAGATCTAACTTCATCCTCTGTTAATTCTGCCTTTTTAGTTTCTTGGAACAACACAATATCTATATTCCTCTTCTTTAGGAGCTTCTTAACTTTGCCTCTTTTCTTCTTCCTCCCCAACCCTCTAACATTCCGTGAAAGAATCTTCATAAATAACCATGAGAACTCTAATACATCCCCCCCAGCTGGTGTCCGTCAGACCCCATCTCTCACCCCCCCTTCAATTTGTTCCTTGTCCTTCAATTCAAGGTTCACAATTTTCTCTAACACAGCAGCTCGCTTACCATTGAACTACACACCAAGAACTTCCCCCATCTTGAGAGTTTCTTCAGCTTCATTGAAGGCGAACCTTCCCTTAACAATTCCACCCTCCATTGATGCAGATGAGGACCTTGCCGCCACTGCTGCCCGCCATACTGCAGCCTTGGGCATTGCTCTACTGGTTGAAGCCCCTTTGCTCTCATACTTCCTTAATAGGTCGAAGGACTTTTTCCCCAGAAAAGTGTGGTTTGATTTTCTCCTATTTCTTATCTTTTCCTTCCCTTGTGTAGGCCTTGAAAGACTGCTGCTGGGCTCCTTGTCATGGGCCTCAAAAAGGCTTGACACTCTCCCATCTGGCCCACCCACAACAACCTTCTTTGTAGTAATTAACTCCTGGGGGTCCAAGACTGGAGCCTCATCCGATCCATAACATTCATGGGTCGATTTCAAATCCACAATTAACTTAAGCCCACAGTCCATGTTATCAGGCCCAGATAGAGTTTTAATTAATCCAGAAGTTTGAATTCCAACTTCACCATCATCAACGGCTCTCCTCTTGGGACTCGCCAGCAGTCTTGCAGAACTCTCCTGACATACGTAGTCGATTTCTTCTGACATGCCTTTCTACAGATCTGATTCAGCCACCATTGAAGTGTCTCTGAGCTGGTCATCTTCCACCATGGTGTTGCTGTTATCGTGCGCTTGCACTGTTACATGATCAACCCCTTCTTTATGCTTGCTCCCTCTATCTACAATCTGATTGCCCACTGCTGCAAGATTACTATTTTTGATTCCACCAAGATGTTCTTCAGATGAATGGCTGAGACCGGGCATCTTCATATCTTGGATGATAATGATTTATTCCTCGCACACCCTAACTGGGCAAAGGACGCCTTTGCATTCTAATCTGAGTAATTGATTAATAGGATCCATAAAGTTTGTCGCAATCTGCACTTTTCCACATTGGAAATGATTTAAATTACTAGTATCCTCATCCAGAGCAGTCACCATACCCCACATCTTACCAATGTTAATAAAGGTGTTGCAACTCCAAAGATTTAGTGGAACTCCATAGCAACTGAGCCAAACCTTCCTCTCTTGGGTAATTGACATCCCCTGTTTCCATTCAAGAACTGAATCACACCATTCATCTAGCCAGCTCTTCATTAACAGAAGTTTTTCCTTCATAATTTCCTGAGATTGAAATGTTATGACCAAATCTCTTCCACCACCTACCCTTACTTGAACTTCTCTCAGATCTCTTCTTGCTAGTTCTTCCTTGAAGTCTTCCATAGCGTAGATTGGTTTCAACCTGGCTATGACACTCTCATATAACCATCCATTACCTTCCTCATAGGCTTTGATAATGCAGGAGGAGTTATAACCTGATGCCTTACCACTCACCACCTCCGCAAAAGATCTCATACCTTGGTGACCCACATGCGTTCTGTTTAGTTCCCCTGCATACTTTCTAGGCTGCACTGATGGACCAGCCTGCTGTTTTATACCAGCTTCCTTACCATAATCTATTTTTTTAACCTTCAAAGCTTTATCATCACACCAGAGCCCATTGGTTTTCTGAACAGCCATATCCGCTGCAACAGGACACCTGTATTTGACAAAACCAAACCGGGATCTCGTCATTTTCCTCCTCTTGTTTGGAATAAAGGTATCAATCACAAACCCATTGTTGGAGAAGAGTGAGTACAACCCTTTAGCTCGCATGGTTTCGGGTAGATTATCCACGAAAACAGAGTGAATAGGCCCATTCGTCCAGCTATTCCGGCCTCCTTTTCCACTATGTCTTCGAACCACCAGCTGCCATCCTCCATTGCTTTGCTTGACCATTATCATATGTCTCATGCAAAGATAGATATTGGGTCTTGGTATATGGTTATTCTAGTTTAAGGCATCTTAATGAGGATATTGATGTAGAACCACACCGAGGCAAATTAGGGATTAAGTTATTATTTCCCAACTGTGTAGCTTAGTGTGTGTTCACTCTGTAACTGTGTAGGATTGGCATTCTGGAGACGCTCTAGCTTATCTGTAGCCCAGAACTCTGTGAGTAACAATGTTGTAAAGATATGTTCAATTGAAATTATTTTCTGAATAATAACTGTACTGCTTATGAAATGATACTGTTACTGAATGAATGATGTCCTATTTGTGAATTGTATTCGTGGCATCCATAGCAACCTACTGTTACTGTACTGTACTGTACTGCTACTGTCACAGAGATCTCTGTCGGTTCCCATGCTGGAACCACTACTGTTTACTGTTATGATGGCCATCAACTGACTGTTCGGTCTGCTAAGACCTACTGTACTGTTTTGCTATTGGATGTACCACATATGACTGTTATAGTTTCTGAATGACTGTTGGCATGAAATATGAGCCATAAACTGAATGATTGATATACTATTTAATTGACTGTTTTCAACATTGAAAGGACATTCATTCTTAACCTCTTTACGCATATGTTATTCACTGGGCTTTAGCTCACTGCTCATATATATATGTAAGTGTTCAGGCACCGGACCGTTGCTAGGGGCGTCAGGCAGGCTCTTGTTTTGTCAGCCAACCATTGTGCCTCACTGCGAGGTTCCAAGTGTGATCAAGCTTAGGCTGCTTTTGGGGTGTCTTAGTTTCACCCAACTGTCACTGTTCTGTAATACTGTATAGACTGAATGTTTTTGAACTGTACTGTTTACTTAGGGATTAAGTCCCTGTCCTGAAAGATTGTAAATATTGTGCATACTGTTTGGTACTAACTGTATACATATATGAAAAGTCTTTTGCATACAGAGCGTCACAGCTCATTGGACAACTTTAATTACTATATTGGCTTCCGCCAGCCCCTGTACTTTGTATTACTGTTCTACTGTTAAGCAGGCCTTCGGTAATCTCGGATTACTGGCCGGTTACGGTGCTAAACCCGTAGGGGCGGGTTAGGGTCGTGACAGTTTAAGTCACTAGCATGCTTTACTTGGGTCATTTCAATGATTTGGCATAATTTGTAATGTCATTTCAATCCATGTTTCATGCTCATGTACTTACACTTATCACTCCTTTAATGCTTTAAAGAGTTGGTGTTTTATGCCTCATGATTGGACCATTGTGCATGCCTCCATGTTTAGGCCTCTAGGATGCCATTTCAATATGTTTTTGGAGTTATTTTTCCATGATATAAATCTGATTTTGGTTGCTTAAATCATGCCATGTTTGGTTTCGATAGGTGTAGTGAAACACCCACTTTGTAGCCTTGCATGCCTCATACTTTTGGTGTTATGTTCTAGCTTATTTTGGCTTTGGTCCTTGCATGTTTTAGGCTCATTTTGACATGATCTAGGACTATTTTGGATTATACTTGCCATTCGCTTCATGTTTTCCATAGCCTTGGTTTGAGTCATTTGGCTAGTTTTAAGCTTTGCGATTTCCTGCATGCTATGCTTGTATTATTTGGTTGGTTTGGCACCTTTTAATGTATGATTTCAGAGCTTATAATGCTTGTCACATGTCCATATTTGTCTCCTTTTAGGTGCTCTTGAAAGTTGCCCTTTTATGCCTAGGTGTTAGGCCATCACATGTGCATGTTTGTATGTGTTTTTGTCCATCATTTCTTAACACTTTGGCCACTGATTTGGGCACATTTGAGAGCTGTCCATATTAGTTTAAGTCCATTTTCACATGTTGTTGCATGCTTGCCTTGCATGTTGTCGCATGCTCGTTACATACTTGGCCTATTGCATGTTGTTGCATGCTTAAGTTGTATTGCATTTGGCATGCTTTTTGTTAAGTTGCTTTGCATGTTTGTATGCATTGTCCCTTGCATGTTGTTACATGCTTGCCTTACATGTCGTTGCATGCTTATCTACCTTGGCATGCTTTGCATGCTTGAATGTTCATATTGCATCTTGCATGCTTGTTTAGGTTGCATTGCATTTGGCATGTTTATTACCATTAGCCTTGTACGGCATTGTTGTTAACATACTCATGTTACATTAGCTTTGCTTGCATGTTTGCATTACATTGAGTGTGCATTCCCTTGCCTCTTGATCAAGCATGATAGAGGTTGGGGCCCCTTATGTGTTTTTGTGCATTTCATTCCATATTGAATTGCACACTTGGCCTCTTTGGCCATCATGCATCGAAATGCGTGGTTGATGGTCCGAGGGTCGAGGACTACACTCCTTTGAGTCTCAAACATGATAAGGGGTGTGATTGTGCAAATATTGTCTTGCAAATGTATTGCCATGTTCTGTCTGTCCTCTGTTGTAGTAAAAGAAGCATTCGGCAGGAATGGATGGTCGGTCGGCCATCTTTAGTGCCGGTCGGCTACAAATGTTTGGTCGAGAGCCTCATTTTTGGTCGATGACCAGTTTACCTTGGTTGGTGGTCCTATGTTTTGGCCGATGGCCACTCAGCATGCCCACAAGGTGGATCAGAAGTTTCACAGAAGTTGGCACAGTTTTCAAAGGTACAAAGCAGTGCAAACAGAGGCAACATGAAGCATGGCAACGGATTTCCGAGTGAAGCCAACCGAGCATGCATGTGTCCCTCTTCCCGAGGCTGCTTTACTGTTTTCAGAGCTTAATTAATTTGTTTAATTAGTTAAGGTTGTGTAATAATTAATTAGCTTGTTAGTTAGTTAATTAGTTAATTTGTATTATTCTTTTGGTGCCTCCGTCGAGAGGGCGCAATTGTGTAATAAGCGTGCGTGCGTGTGATGCATGTCTTCCAACCCTCATTTCTTTCTCCCTTTTACTTAAACTGCTTACGATGGTTAGTTCTAGGGCACATTTCATTTAGCATACCTTATGCTTGCATGTTTGCATCCATTCGTCTGTATTGCATGCACCGGGCTCGGCGCATCATATTAAATGCATTGTATTTCAATTCCTATTTGAATACATGTATCGAGTTGTCGCATCTCATATGCCATCTTAGAATAGTCGAGCCTATTTCTAGTCGTACTTTGCATGTGTTGCATTAGCCATCTCAAAATGAACTAGGATCACGCATGATTACTAACTAGTTTCTTGTTTTGGCTTGGAGTACACTGTAAGTGTTTATGCTTTAGCATCTTGCATGTATGTAAGTGTTAACATAACAGCATGCTTGCCATAAGGCTAATTGCTTATGTGATATAACTGCCTGAATGCCTGTGGGTGAAGGTTGGATTGCTTGAATTGGAACAATTCATCGAAATCCGTATTTTAGCCTACTTGCGAGTAGCAAACTTCAAACCATTTTCTAAACACACAGATATGCAGTGCTTTGTTCCAAATTAAGCGATCTAGTCTATACTTGTTTGTTGTGCGCATCGCATAGTAAGATTAGCTAATTAATCGGAATACGAACGCATGTGTTTTCAAAAACTCGATATCATGTTTAGTAGTGGCCGATCTTTGATCGGGCGAGCGGGGGTGCTCATTGCATGACCTTCTCCAATCGTACCCAAGTTCCCGAGTCGAGGCAACTTTGGTGATGACGGACACGTGGCCTTAGGCACGAGTCAAGGTTTCCTAAATTCTCCCAAAATAAAATATTTAGGTGGCGATTCTGTATCTGGCAAAACAGTCCATGTTTGGCACTTCTTTCTTAAAAATCAGTTT